AGCCAGATGCTAAAATGTCAGGATGGAGCTGCCATTTGGCTTAAAGCTATATGCATGCCGGCTAAGAAAGCATCAGGTATTTCAACAACTATAGGGTGGATTGCCACGGCATTTCAGCACAGAGATAATAAAACATACGGCCTGACCGAGTAAAGCTCCTAATTTCTTAATATTAAAATCAATTGTGATTGGGCTTTCTTTAATCAGTTAATAACATTGCTGCCACATGTTTGACCTACAAAAATCTACAAAACCTACAAACCTTGACCTACAAAAAAACTTCAATAGCAGTCCCGGTTTTCTAGCTGCAGGTTTAATGTTTATTAACAGACTGCCAAGATTATTACAGATCAGCTGGTTGGGGTTGGGCAGACCGAATATTATGCTCTCTGATTTATTGTTGTTTATCTGGAGGAAATTGTTGGACATGAAAATGACTAAAGCTTGATTAATACTCCTGCGTAGGGTCTACGTGCATAGCTATGTACGGGTGTGACGCTCAAATATATTGATCCACTGTGTTACAGCCGCCGTTTTGGCCACTAGTAAAAGTTACTTCAAAGCACGGGCTCTTCCTGTTGGCTCGGAGGCATTGCAAGGCTACCCAGCCAACAAATCACAGAACTTACGGTCCGCATCAACTCGACGTGTTGTTACATTTTTGAGGAGGTGCACGTCAGGCTACGGCGTAGGTGACGGCGTAGGGTAGGGGGCTACGCAGAGGCTACGCCATTGATTTGACGCACAAGTATAAATTGCACTTGCCATCTCGTGTCGCCAGTTGTTTTGGGTACATACAATTGGGTGTCATCAGCATAACAAGCCATGATAGTGTCTCTGTGAGGCTGTGCTACCCGCTAATGTCAGCATGCTAACATGCTCACTGTGATAATGTTAACATACGGATGTTTAGAGGGAATGTTTACCGTGTGTTAAGTTAGCGTGTTAGCATGGTAACATTTGCTAATCAGCCATAAAAACACAAAATACAGCCGAGGCTGATGGGAATGTCATTGGTTTTGCAGGAATTTGGTCATTAAACAAAGTATTGGACACATTATACTGTTGACCTGGTGCAAGAGGAAAAGTCAGAGAATCACCAGAGTTATTACATTTTATCCTGAGGGGAACATGAAAGTGTGGGATCATTATCAGGAGGACCATGAATTGTACAAACGTTTGTGCCAATCCATCCAGTAGATGTTGAGATATTTCACTGAATAAGTAAAAACTGTGACCTGCCGGTGGCACCAGATAATAAGTCCAGGATCAACAGAGATGGTAGGATTCAACCTCTGGGGATCATGAATGTCTGAACAGAACTTCATTCATTTGATTCTTTCAGTAGTTGTGCAGATATTTCATTCGCTACTGACGTCCCCATGAGGTCACTGTTTGCCGTGACAACATTAGATAGTAATAGTGCTCAGAGGATGAATCCTTATGGTTTTGATGACCTCGCAGCCTTTCCTGCACCGCCCTCAGAATATACAGATATCTCTGCATTTACAGGATGATGTGGGGCCTTGACTGGGCTAAAGCAGCTCACAGCAGCTTCATGGGGGGCAGTCAGGGCTGGTTTCCACTGGAGTACACAAGGCCATCACTTACCAAAAAGCCTGGTTTGGCTTGGACTTAACTGCCCAAACAAGGTCAGGGTTTGTAGGTTACTGCCATATTATAATTACAAAATGATCTGGCAGTGATTCATGACTAGTTCTTGTATTTATTTCTCTTGCATTATAATCACTTCTTGCTACACAGCAAGACATCTTGACATTGACTATATTTACGCAAAGATTAAAAAAGTATCTTTGGAGAAACCAGCAGGAGATGTACGGATTGCTGTCAGGATGTAAAGAGAATTTCAACACACATAACAAAACCCTGCCTACCGCAGCTTTAAGCAGTGTTTGATTGCACTTGACATCGTCTGGAGTTAGTTAATAAATACCAAAAGGCTTTTTATCACTGAGAAATGTGCTTAAAATGTCTTGTGTATCACACAGATCTGTGTGTGATCCTGTCAGATGGATCTGTTCGGCAGAAACTTTCCACAGACAGTAGAATCCTTTAACGCTGACATCTCTAACAACTGTCAGCGCTGCGTGGCTCACGGTGAACATGAAATGAGCTCCTCTGTCAAAACCAGATACAGATGCTGAGGATAAGTGACGTTCACGACTCATTTATTTACAGTTTCTAAAGGTAGGGAGCTAACATTAGCATCAGGGTGGATGCTAACTAAGGATAACCAGGAGAGAACAAGGTTACTTTGTACAGTATGGCTAATTCATTACTTTTTAAAAAAGGAAAAGCAGAAATGAGACGGTGTGGCTGGTACTCCACTAGTAGTTTCATGTCATTGTCTTTGTCTTGATCTGGATTGTCTTAGTCTCACTACAAACATGTTACTTATTACTTGACTTTGTTGCTGAGTAGAGGCAGGGTTTGCACGGCTCAAGCTGACATTTCCACGGTCAATATTTTTGATTATCTCCTCATCTTTCAACAGTTTGTTCGTGCCAGATAAGACAGCGTATCATAAGCTGCAGGCTCACATCAGCACATTGTTCTTTCTGCTCGAGCTGCCAAATACGTTTTGATGTACTTTGGCGTTTAAAAGCCGCCGTAGGGTCTTCTGTGTTTTCTGGTCTGTTCTGTCCCAGGACACAAACAGCAGCAGCAGCTGTGTTGAGCAACAGCACGCTGAAACAGGAACAGTGTGTTGAGATGAAACAAGGTGTGTTATTCTTCACCGAACAAATGTGAGTCCAACTGAGTTTATCTGCCAAATACAATAAACACGTACGGGGACTTTTCCTGCTGATGTTGGTGAAGTCAGACCAGTACTTGTTTTCCAAAGCTGATACAGAAACAGCCCGTCCTCAGCAGAGAAACAGCTGTGAAGGTAGATCACGCAGCAGCTTACGACCCATATTTATGTTTTTAGATAGGGCGTGACCTCTAGAGGCAGAAGAAGTCAGGTGACGTAGTATAAAGACTGACAAAGTCCGTGTAAGGAGGTGGTGGGTTGAATAAGTCAAGTAAACTCAAGACTTTCACTCGGGAGACGGAGGTTCGAAAGTCCAACGTGAGATGTCGAATAACATTTTGTAGACGACTGTCATGTGACTTACATTAAACCCAAATCTTTTCCTAAATCTTACCAGGTGGTTTTGTTGCCTAAACCTGACCAAATGTCACGTGGCTTACATAACGTACTGAAGGTCCTGTACGCCAGCCGCTGGACCCGTACCCGCCAACACTCACACATGTTGTTCTGGGGAACTGTTGTTCTACTTTCCGATGGACATATGTCGTTTAGAGGACGTGCTGTAAGGATGCTGGTATTTCTGGGAAGCTTTTATTTCTTTCAGGTTAAAACTCATCGCTGCATCATTCAAATGAGTCAAATAAAAAATGTAAGTCAGTGTGTACAGAACTCAACCATGACAGAAGAGGCGGAAAGACTCTAAAGTTAAGACACTTCTCCTGAATGAAAACGCTCTCGATGCTGTTTTTCTCCTTCACCTCAGCTTCTCTTTCTTGTGTTAGACTTCTGAGCTTTGGATGCGTCGGCGCTGAACCCCCATGAACTGCGGATGACGGGCTTCCTCCACCTTTTGGTTTAATCTCTGGCGACTTCTCCTCCATCAAGACAGGCAGAGATGAGCTCAGGTGTCAGGCGGCTGACAGCCGGTGTCGTACTCAGGCGTCAGTCCTTTCATGATATCTCTGTGTGTGATAGATGGGTCGAATCCAAACAGAGCTGATAAAACATAATAAAATATAGAGCAGAGGTGAGGAACAGACGACCCCGCTGTGCTCTGACCTCCCACTGATACTGAAGTGTGTTGAGTAAAAATGTTGTTGCTAAATCCTGGATTTGGTCAACAAAGATTCCAAATAAAAGGATTTTTAAATCCTAACCTCAAGATTTGAACTCATGAATTGATCAAAACCAGATGAAGAGCAGGGATTTGGCCCCTCGCACCTAAATTCATCACTTTCTGCATTGGTCTGTGATCAAATTAAATACTGTGGACAGTAACTACACCTCATTTTTAGGAATCGTATCTCCTGACTGAACCTTCTGTCTTTTATCAAAGTTTAATTTGTTATGATCGTTTGACATGCAGTGCTCTGGTCCAGGACTCTAATCTGTGAAAGTTTCCTTGTGTGTTTTCAGCTTCAGATATCAGGTTTCTGCACTCCCAACAGCGCGCATGGAAACGCGTGGGTTACTCATGATCTCTTCATGTTGCAATAGCGTCACGGTGCAGAAAACACAACCGAACCATCGTTAAGTGACGGAATTTCTGTCATTTCAGCAGAAAGGATCATCCCAGAGTCGCGCTTCTACACGTTGTACCTTTTTAAACATACAGCTGAGCCATGAAAACCTTTGAAACTCGAGACGCTTCGTCTCATCAGCAGCTCAAGCGTGTCTGTTAGCTTGTAACAACGTTATCATCACCTGATGGAGCCATTTGATTGGCTCTCTGGGGGCGTTTATCTCTGAGCTGAAGGTGTAAACACACACACAGTGTTGTTTACCAGGTGTGATCCCTGGTCACCTGTTTATTCTGTGGCTGGTGGGAATAACACACACACACACACACAGGGTTATATCCATGACAGTACACGGTGGTTTCAATAGGGACTTTCTAGCATCAGGAAACAACAGTGAAACAAAAGTGAATATATTTTCGATTGTGTAAATTAGCCACAACATACTCACACTCAGAGCCTCGGTTTAGCTGCAGACGTACAGTTTAAGTTACAGTGAGTAATGAACAGAGATTAAAGCGGAGCTGCCCTTTAGTGTCTGTCCTCACGCTGGACACAACTTGTTGAATTTATTGGAAAACAATTTGTACTGAGAAATCAGTGTGTTTCCACATGATGAGTTTTTTGGGTCTTTGGGAGCGTAAACGAGCTAAATATTGAATATAAAGCGTTCTGTGCTGACTGATGTCCCCCCTCTCTTCCTGCAGGGAGTCCAGTACAGCCGGCGGCGGCAGCGGAGGAGGAGGAAGGTGGAGGCTCCGTCATGTTGTCCCAGTCGTCCTGCTGTGGATGTCTCTGCTCGGGCACGGTAGGAACCCGGCTTACCCCCCATGTGGTCCTTTCCTCCGGCTCAGAACAGGAAAATGTCAGGGCAGGTGGATTTTGTCTTTAACTGAGCAGCGAATCTGACAGGAGGAAGACAAGTTGCTCTCACAGCTGTCAAACCGACAAAGAGGAGTCCTGGTGGAGACTGTTAGTTCACCTAAAATCCACATCGACGTCTGCCTTTACCCACACGAAGGCCTCAAACCAAACGCTTTAATCTTACCTTAAACAAACTCTGACTGAGACGTTTGGACGTAGCTCGAGACGCTAAAGGGACACTAAAATTAAAAGCTAAAATTACAGCTTATAGAAATGCTTTCTACTCAGTACTGTGGCGTCCTGCAGTTGCTACTGGCCAGCATTGGCTGTGGTGTCTCAGTGGGATAGAACGGTAAAATACGGTATAATCTTGGGAGGGTTTGCAGGTATGATTAAGTAACGTAACTTAAGTTAAAACAATCAATGTTGACTTTTTGTTTCGCACAGGATATATCCCACACCTACCTTTAGCGTTGAAATACGACGCTGCAGGACATTTCCACGGTGCGAGTGCTGGGAGTGAGAACGTGTTGAAGACTCACCTGTAAACCTTTTAACAAGGAAACGTCACATTTGGTGTTTCCTGCAGCTCCTTCACAGACGAGAGTGTAGACGTAACGATGGGGTCGGGCCTACGGAGAGTTTAGTGTAGTGTGCAAACGGCGAGAAACAACACACACCCCTCCCAGCTAGCATTCATCACCATCAGTCAGACAGACAGAGCTGCAAACAACAACTCGAGTTCCTATTTCCTGGAAAATGAACAGCTGTGAGAGCAACTCAGCAGAAACTGAAAAATATTTCTGACTTAATGAAATCCGCTCCGTTGCCCCGAGTCAGATATAAGCAGAGCTGGGTGTTAATTATGAATGAATAATTTAATGTAATGATTCAAAGTCCACCAGCGCTATTATCTGGAGATGTGGAGACATTTAATTCGCTAATTGAAGCTGAGAGTGTTTATCTTTATGTGAAGAGGCCGTACAGGCTGAACATTATAATTTGAGGAATTCTCAGCACCTGAAAGAAAAGAGGGCTTCTGTGAAGTCTAAGATGTTTGACTTTTGTTTCATGCTTCTGCTGTTTGAGAGTTTGATTTTCTTGTTGACATCCTTCACTCGTGTTTTGTTTCTCATGTAATTCATGTTTTCCTGCTGTCGGGAGAAAACGCTGTGTTTCACTTTCCTCATGAAAGAATCACTGGCATCATGAAAACAGTCCTCCGAACCCGTTAAGAAGCTCTTAGTGTACTTTTTAAAAATACACTGGAGCCGTCTCAGAGATGCAGCGTTTTCATCTTGACAGCAGTGATTTATATGATTTCCATCTTTTTCTTCTTCCCATGTTTCCATCTTCCATTCGCTTGTCTGCTCTTCGCTTCATCCCACTTCTTCTTTTTTTTTGTTTGTTTTCACTCATATTTTCCATCCCTGCGCCCGAGCATGCCTCGTTTTCTCCCCGTCATGTGCTTCCATTAACCAAACCGCTTGTCATGTTGCAGAAAAAGTCACGGCTCTTTCATGAAATCTGCAGCCGGATATCATTTCCATCTGGTTTACTCCTTCATCGCTGTGAAGTGCTTCATCACAGCAATCACGCTTTCATTCATTCCTCCCACACATGGTCAGAAACGCTTCCAGTTTCACCTCTGTTGTCACCGTGTTCCATTTCTAAACGTTGCAGAACTGCTGCTCCTGAACGTCTGCTGGTGAAGCAGAGCTTCATGTTTCTGGGTTTAGTTTGTTCTAGTTCTCCTGAGAGTGACGTCGAGACGCCAGTAAGTTTGTGCCGAAACTTTCAGAAAGTCAGTTTTAACATCACTGATCATTAATGTCACGGTGACTCACGTTCGATCAGTCGATCAATAAAATTTTCATTCATTCATTCATTAGTTTATTTTTGTAATCATATCTCCCTTCATTCATTGGTTGGTTTGATTGTTCTCGTGTTTGTTCCACTGATCGATCGCTCATTTGATTTACTGATAATTAATTCCTTTCTTCTGCCCAGTTGTTTGATCATTGGTCTGTTCGTTCAGTCTGTCGATCGTTGGCTCAGTCCCTGCTTGGTTAAATTTTCATTTACTGTCTTTATTTTATTCCTGAATAAAATCAGTCGTTTGTTCGATTGTTGTTGTTCTTTCAATTTGTTCAAATAATCTTAAGGTTTATGTGTGTGTGCAGCAGGCCGGTGATGAGGTCAGTGTGTCAGTAGGTCCGTGTGGAAACTTTAAAGTGCAGAAGCTGGTTTTGCCAAAAGCAAACTATAACATGTGTCTCATTACAGTTTTATTTCTAAGGTTTGCAAGGAGCCGACTGTCTCGGCCGAAAGTACGCGGACACCTGAACGTTCCCTCCTCGTGCGACGGTGACTCCTCGTTCATTCACGCGCCGCGGCCTCCTCTCTGCTCGCGTCCGTCTTTCCACCAGATGTTGAACCAGCTGCGGGGATTTGCTGCCATTCAGACACCAGAGCGATCGGGTCCGGCTCGTGCTGGACGGGGTCGAGGTCAGGACACAGAGCTGCTTGGTGAACGGGAGGCGCCGTCATGTTGAAACACAAAGTGTTGGACAGGGGTGCGTTATGTTTTATTCTTAAAGCGAGGACAGAGACAGGAGGTGGAGAGAGTCTTCATTCTTGGCTGTTGATGATTTCAACTTTCGTGCCAATAGCGCTCGTTGAATGGGAAAATTAAGATGGGATGGTGGGGGAGAGAGAGAGAGGGTGTGTTTAATGTATTTTCCAGACCCTACCAGCAGCCTCAGGCCACACCGAGCGGTTCACACACTCGTAAAGTTCCCAGCAGTACAAAACCACACACACACACACACACACACACACACACACAGAGGTTAGCGGTGGACGCTCTGGTGACAAGAACACAACCCAACGTGTGTGTGTGTGTGTGTGTGTGTGTGTGTGTGTGTGTGTTGCTGACCAGTGGATAAACTGGACAAGACCAGGAAACTGTAAATGTCTCCGGGCGATGACGGATCTGAGAGAGAGAGAGGGGTTAAATTTAGAAGCTGAGTAGCTGAAGTGTTTCCACTCAGACATCTGAAGGGATCAGAGTATCTCCACACTCTGACCAAAGGATTGCCTGCTCACATTATCTTCTAAACGTGGCTTCTGAACTGGCCACGGCCAGAATACGGCGATTTTTCACGGGAAACTCCTGTTTTTCATTGCCCTCGCTCGGTTTCCTCCCGCGGTCACGATTCTCCTGATGTCCCGTATTTCTCTTAATTTATGATGAATGTTTACAACCTTGTGGCTCTGCTCAGCTCTCTCTCTCTCTACACTGTTTCCACCGTAGTGGCGGAAGTAGCGTGCCCGTGATGCAGAGAAAAGGCGCTCGCTCTAGAGTGACTGACCGGACTGACAAACTGGAAAAGATCTGATGTGGATCACTTTGGCCTGCAGTCTCCAAACACTAGAGTAACCCCGGTTCTGATGCAGGCTGTCGGACCTTCACAGTGGCTTTATTTAAATTCTGTGCAAACCTTAATTTCTGGCAGCTTATTACGACCCAACTGACAATAAATACTAGTAAGAGCTCACAGCACATATCACATCAATGGGGTAAATAACTCGGGGAGAGAAGTTTCAGGTAACAAAAAGTGCAATCAATACAAGGAAATTGTAAGGAGACAGAAGAAGAAGAGAAAAGTGCATGTTAGAGGTGTTATCAGAGGAAGTGTTCTCTGCAGAGTTTTCAGGAGCTTCTTGAAGTCAGAGAGGGACGCCGCTGTTCTGATGGCGTGAGGTAGCTCGTTCCACCATCGTGGAGTCACAGATGAGAACAGGGAGTGGGGTTGGCAGAGCCAGGCGGCGTTCGTTGGAGGAGCGCAGCGGCCCAGAAGGAACGTTAACTTGTGTAGTTCAGTCTTAGAGAGGTTTAGTTGAAGGTGGCGAGCCTTCATCCATGCAGATACGTCCGAGACAGAGTTACCGTTACCCGCGCCGAGACGCTGGGGTCGTCTGGCGGACAGGATACGTACATGTTGTTTTGGGGTCCTTTATCATACATAGTTGTACTTTCAAACGGACTTCTGTGTCGTTTCGGAACACTTGATAATCGACCTGTCTCGTTGTTTAGGTCTGCGGACGTGTTGGCAGGTCGCCAGCTTGTTTTTTGTTCTTTATTTTTTTAAATTTGTTGTCGGAGCAGCTGATCCAGATTACACAGAACAGATTATAGATTCACAAAATGTAGCTGTCGGCTGTTTATATTATAAACTTTATTTCAGTGGTTTTAACGCCTATATAAGAGGTTCTAATGGATCTATTAGCAAAAGCTGTTAAAAAGTAAAATCCTTCTTCCCTCTCTGGTAAGTACTGGAGCACTTTTAACTCTATACTAATGCTGCCTCATTTAGTTGTTTGTATTAAATTAACAGACACAACAGAACTTTATTCCAGCTGCAGCTTTAACACACACACACAAACAAAACGGTCCGTTAACTTCCCCGCCCGAAAACAGAGTTTGTTGAGATCCAATAAAACCCCCAAAAGGAATTCATCTTTATGACAGTGACTGGATTCAGACCACAAAGAGTCTCACTGCCGGGCTGGATCAGCTTCCATATGTGGTTTTTAAGAGTCATCTATCTGAATCTGCTGCAGAAAAGCCACAGTATTTTGTTTATTGTTGCACATAAAATCAAATTAAAAGACTGATTTTGTTGGTCAGAAAACAAACCAGACACACAACACTGACACGAGAGAGGAAAAGTGACTGACTGAGCTGAAGATGATCATTTTATGGTTGTTTATCCTGGTGTTCGGCAGCTTTAGCCTCCAGGTACTTTCATGCCTGTAAAGCAAATTCACTTAAGCTCAAGAGTTCAGAGACTGACGGCGGTTTAGAGTGAGGCGGAGAGACGGGGATTAAAGAGACTGAGGAGGATTTTTCAGAGCGTTTGAATGTTGGACAGAGTGAAG